TATCACATCAACCTCAGTTATCACATCAACCTCAGTATAGTACTGAGGTCTGCCATTTAATAGAATGTCTGTAAAAAATCAAATTAAGAAGTAAAAAAGTACAAATATGTTACTTATTTAACTTCGTAGCCCTCCAGTGCTTACTTCATATGCACAAAATTTGTATGCAGTAGTTGTGACTTTTCCTATATCAACAGTTAGTGTGCCTGCTGCCTCATTTCTCCTGTTGGGCTCTGACCCTGACACATGTAACCTGTCCTATGACAGCCTCCTCCTCAGGTGCCCAACATCACTGAACGTGACCCTAACCCACCATCAGGTGACGCCCAGGCAGACAATCAGCATCCTCACACATTCAGTGTTTTAACATTCAGCCAAGCTTCCACTGACACTGTATATGTTAGATCAAATGATCAAAAAATCAAAACAAGAAGTCGCTCTGGGCCTCTTTCACTTTCTCTTCCCAGTCACTCTTCTTGTTTATCTTATGTCCTCCTCCACAGTAACTGAGTGAAAACCAGGGGATTTTCAATTGTTCCTGATCACGGTCAGGAACACCTGTGACATGCCGAAGTAAAACCTTCCCACTGTCCTGTTCCTCCTCACGCTAAGAAACACAAACAGAAGACATTGCATCTGCTTTATTATCATTATTTTCATACCACGTCTCCTGACGAGGGCTCCAGTGGCAGCTGGCTGTGCAAGTCTGACCAAATCTCTGTCTATATTCTCAATCTCTACCTTGTTCTGATGAAACCCCAGATGTTCCCAAACCAGCTGGCAGATATAATCCCTTCAGCATGAGATGCCCAAACTACCTTTGCTGACTCCTCTTCATCCAAAGATGCAGTTGCTCTATTTCAGGATCTCCGAGTTCCTCACTCAGAATAGTATAGAATGCTGTTATTGTCATTAAACACAACAGGTACAACAAAATGTAACAGACACAGAATGAGCCTGGCAACCAAGCTGAGATCTCATGACAGATGCTTGTATTTCTCCTGGTCATTACCCACAGCTCATGACTATAGGTGAGAATCAGGAGATAAACTGACCAGTAAACCGCAAACCTTGTCTGCGATTAGCTGCCATCAGGGTCCTGATCACTGCAGCCACCAAACCCACATGCCTGTCAGTTTCATTTCCCTCTGAAATCATGATCATGAAGTAACTAAACTCCTTTGCAAAGAGCAGATTCTCTCTTAAGAAAGGAACAATCTACTCTTTTCTAAAGACCCACCATGGCCTCAGATTTGTGCTGAGTCTCATCCCTGCTCTACACTCAGCATTGAGCTGCTTGAGTAAATGATAGAGACCAAAGAACATCACCTGAGAATAACAGGGATATCACATCTAGCCCCCATGATTGATGCCCGTCCAGCCACTGCTCTGCCTTCAGATCCTGTCAATGAAAATCAAACAGGAGTGGAGACAAGACACACTCTAAACAACTTCAGTTTTGTTTAATGTTATACAATAGCAGTAGTAATACTTAATAAAATTTAATAAATAGCAGTAATTTTGCATGTGATAAAGTAGAAAACAAAATGATACAGTAAGTGTGCATTGACTGGGGGTTTTAACATTCAGTTTTATTCAGCGGTTTAGTACAGTAATTAAATGTCTTTAAATGTCTGTACTTAAAGCTTTCTGGCTTTCTGGATTTGATATCATTATAGAAACAAATTCTATATTTGTTACAATGGGCTAATGTACATTTTTGCTGGCCTTTTAAGTAGTACATCTCTTTCTTGACAACTAATGATGTCACAGCAGAAAATTTGTTGATTGGCTGGCCTGCATGTGGTTTGTAGCAACTGGTAAATCTGGGAGTTTTCAGGTCAAATCAAAGTATCTTTATTGTCATCTTAAGCTATATGATCCATCGGTCATATGCTGAGATGAAATTACAATCTTGTTGGTCATAGTGCAAGAAACTGTGAATAGAAATACGGATATAAAAACATTTAACATGTTTGATCATTTAAACATGACATCTTGACACAGACATATGATATAGAAAAATACAATAATAAATACAATTAGAGACAGTGTGATCCTAGCAATCTTCTCTGCTGTTTTAATGACCTGCTGGAGGGACTGGTGGTCTGAGACATTGCAGGACCTGAACCAGGGTGTGATGTAGTTTGTGAGGATGCTTTCAATTGAGCTGGACAGGGTGGAAGGTGGCAGTGTGTCTTGTCTGAAGCACCACAGGAAGTGAGTTTGCTGCTGGACCTTCTTGGTCAGGGAGGATATGTCCTGGTTCCAGGAGAGATCCTCAGTAAGGTGCACACTGAGAAATTTGAAGCTTTTTATCTATGTTGAAAACAGATTCACTGATTAATATGAGGTTATGTTCCCCCTGGGATCTTCTCAAGTCCACAATCTTATCAAAATTGAGCAGCAAACTGTGGACCTTGCACCACTCCAGCTCTCTCACTTCCTGTCTATATGCTGACTCATCTCTGCAGTTTCTGATGCTGATGATGGTGATGCCATCTGCAAACTTAATATTCCCAGGATGTCATTAGGTACAATTCAATTTAATATACTTCTACTGTAGCTCCATCAGAAACCTTTTAAATGGTTTATAACAGGCACCTTCCTGCTTCTAGCCACCTAAAAAGATATCAGCTTTTGCAGGGAGAGCCTTACAATCTGCCCCTTTTGCTGGAAAGATTGAAAATGCCCCCCTTTTGATGTTCCAAATGCCCTTTTTAGATAACCAATGACCACGCGAAATCCTTACCATTTTAGAGGTACTCTGTCTCTCGTCTGACAAAAACAATTTGGCCTGTATCAAAGTTACTCAGTTATTTACCCCTGTCCATTTCTTCTGAATTCAAGACTTTAACTATGAGTACCGACAGTTCAATTATTGTCTAATATATCTCAGACCTTTTTATGAGATAGATGTTATTTGCTTCAGGCTGGGGTTATTTTAAATTAATTTTGGATCGACACCTCATTTAGCAGCAGTGAGACAATTAACTAGTACCCATACTTTTATTGACTGAAATTTAGTGGCATTTTAAAAAGAATTTGGAACATACAGTTTTGGAAATACAAATATTTATCTAAAAATAATAATAGTGAACACTGGCTTTGTTTTTTTATTCCGGCCTATCTTTGCACATCTATAACACGTTATACTGTAACTCAAGTGCTGTTTTAGTTGTATTGAGGGCAGTGATATTATTTGAAATAGAACCTCTAAGTTTCTGTTGAATCATTTTTTCAGTGATTGGGATTTGCAACCGACTACACAACAACACAACTGATTATTTAGTAAATAAATCCGAATACAGAACTATAGACCCACAACCAAATGCACTTGGACAACCAGACATATCCCACCAGGATGGCGGATCAGTCCCACAATGCAACCCATTAGTCACATGGACGCTCAGTGTCATATACCCTGGGTAAGCGGTTATGGATGATGGAATTATGTAAGGGTACAGTACAAAGATGACCTCCAATATAGTTCTTCTATATGTCATTGGTATGCTGGATAAGGGAACTGGGTAATGTTTTACACTAACTGCACCTTTATAACGCCTTTATGATACATTTGTAGAACATTCAGTGCACGTAATGCATTCATAACACATTCATAGAACAATCAATAGAATGGGGTGGTGAGTGGCTCTGTAGGTTAAGTCTCTGTTCCTGTGACCAGAAGATTGTTTATTCAGGCCCCAGCCATGACAGAGCAATCACATGTCTATGGGTCCTTGAGAAAGGCCCTTAATCCCCAACTCTAAGGGTGCTGCATGTTTGGTTTACCCTGTGCTGTGATCCCCCCCAGACTATGGATAGCAAGATGGGGTAGGCAGAAAGAAGAATTCCAGTGTACCTGTACAAATATGTGTGCAGATATAATATTTATCAGCATGTAAGTATACCTTAACAGCTTCATTATACTTAAAAAAACATTATATGATTATACAATTATAATGCTTGTTATTGTCATATGTTTATTAATTTATAATAAAGTTGTTAAGGTATGTAAGGATGTTGAAGTATACTTACATGCTGCTTAAGAATGTTCTATGAATGCATTAAAAAGGTATTATGAAGGTGCAGTTAATGTAAAGCCCATAAGAAATAATGGAAAACCAATTAATTGGTTCCCGGCCCCCCAAAATTACCCTTAAATATGTTGTTTTTTTAGCATTTAAACACAAAATGAACAGGATAAAACAAGAAGAGCATATACTGTACTAAACACATCTAAGTACATTTATCAAAACAGTAATTTGTAAAGTAAAAAAAAAACGTGTCCTGCCCCAATCACCACACTCCTTCCGTGTGCCACGCCCCCTCGTTAACCCCATGTGGAATCCCCATGTGATCAGCTGTTTTTGGTTGTTGTCATTAGTCCTCTGTATTTCGTCCGCGTTTCAGTTTGTTTCCCCAGCAGTTTGTTTCATTGTATTGTCCGTTTGCGTTTTCACTGCTTTAACTGTAATTAAACCCCGTATTCCCCGATACCCTGACGTCTGCACCTTTGTCTTCGTTCCGTCCCCGCTCAGCACGACAATATTATTATAATTAAATGTATTAATGGTTTATTATTCATATTAAAATTATTAATAAAAAATCTTAATTTTTAAATGTATTTTATTATATAATAATAATTACTGTTACTATCATTGTCTAAATGTATTTTTACTGTCTAAATATATGTATTCAGCTAGTGTAAACCTGCACGATGCTATCACAGAGAATGCGAGGCTGAGACTGAAGTGTTACCCTTTGTTTCCGCTGAGAGACCTGGCGTGTGACTCATTTCCCCGCGTGTACAAGTTATCTTAGGTCGGCATTCACGGTTTGACTTCTGAGATTCAGATCGAGTTCTAGGTAAAAAAAAAATCGAACTGGTTGGTTCAACTTTTAAGAAATTCGAGTTCTAATGAGTTCGAGAACTGAGGTACCACTGTATATAGGCATGATCAAAGAGCAATAGGCAGTTACTGTTATTTGATAGATATTTGCTAAGAACCAATTTTTTCAAGAGGCTTAAAATTGAAATGTATTGTTTCTTTTATTTAAGTACTGTAGCAAAGCTTTAAAATGATAGACAGAAGTTTAACTGGAACATAAACACAAAATGTGTGACAATTCAGATCTCATAATATGACCTCACAACATCATATAATGTCTTCACTGTTTATATAAAACACTAATAATTTGTCCACTATAGGAAGCCGTGAATACGGGTAAACGGGGTTTTATTAAAGCAGCACAGGACCAACGTTAATGACAGACCTGGGGGAAACGGACTCAGACGCAGACTAAATACACAGGACAAGGCGGAAATAACAGGCAACAGGTGATCACAATTGGGAATTAACACGAGGTAACGAGGGGGGCGTGGCACACACGAGAATCGTACTAGCAGCTAGTCATGACACAAGTCTCCAAACACAAAGACGGAGCACAAGATATTAGTTATTATTATTTTAATTCTTGTAATATACAGCTGTTACTTTTTGTCATCATTCGTTGTCCCACAGACATTATTTTAAAGTGAGCCAACATGAAAATGTTGGGGCAAAAAATACTGCATTTAAAAAAATGTACATGTTAAAATGATGGCAGCATATTGTGCCTCTGATTACCATTTCGGGCAACAGTGAAAATGGTCGATTTTGCAGAAAAACTGCAACGCAAAAATACATCATTCGTGCAATGTCTGATCAGCTCCCCCGATGGAGAAATCCGTCAAATTAGTGCTTCATTCATCGAAATCGTTATCGGCATTTTGCGTTATTCTAGGCTCGTTTTCACTTGGTTTAGATTCGAAGTTGTAAAACCAACATAATAAACACAGAACCACCTTCTGCTCTAATTTGAATAATCGAAAAGAGGAAATACGACAACAATAGTTCATGGAAGGCCAACGGGGCCAAAACGTCTTAAATCTTTATGCCTAAAGACGTCAGAGACGTCAAATTTCCACGCCTTTAGATGTAAAATGACATGTTGATTTTTTGCATGTGAAAAATCTACGTGTTGATTTTTTACATCTGAAGGCGTGCAAATTTGACGTCTCTGGCCGTTAATATTTGACGTCTTTAGGCATAAAGTTTTAAGATGTTTTGGCCCCGTTGGCCTTCCATAGCAGTCAAACGACAGAAGAGGATGTCATGCATAACGATGAAGAGAACGGCATATCATATAACGACGTGTCGACATGTTGGGTCGACATGCAATACAACATGTAAAACAGCAGTGGTGCTAAGACCACAGAAGTACAATGTAAAGTTGAATTGATACATACAAATGTTTTGTTGGGTGAGCAATCGACATTGTCAAAATAGATTAGTCACAAACAAATGTTTTGTTACGTGCTCAGTCGACGTGGACAGTGTACTAATGACATGTTTTTGGCACAAATGGAACGCACAAATTCATATCGATGCATTTTTGGCACTAATGGAACCCACTTGATATGATGTTTTTATACACTCACCTAAAGGATTATTAGGAACACCATACTAATACGGTGTTTGACCCCCTTTCGCCTTCAGAACTGCCTTAATTCTACGTGGCATTGATTCAACAAGGTGCTGAAAGCATTCTTTACAAATGTTGGCCCATATTGATAGGATAGCATCTTGCAGTTGATGGAGATTTGTGGGATGCACATCCAGGGCACGAAGCTCCCGTTCCACCACATCCCAAAGATGCTCTATTGGGTTGAGATCTGGTGACTGTGGGGGCCATTTTAGTACAGTGAACTCATTGTCATGTTCAAGAAACCAAATTGAAATGATTCGAGCTTTGTGACATGGTGCATTATCCTGCTGGAAGTAGCCATCAGAGGATGGGTACATGGTGGTCATAAAGGGATGGACATGGTCAGAAACAATGCTCAGGTAGGCCGTGGCATTTAAACGATGCCCAATTGGCACTAAGGGGCCTAAAGTGTGCCAAGAAAACATCCCCCACACCATTACACCACCACCACCAGCCTGCACAGTGGTAACAAGGCATGATGGATTTTCCCTTTGCACACCATTCTTTGTAAACCCTAGAAATGGTTGTGCGTGAAAATCCCAGTAACTGAGCAGATTGTGAAATACTCAGACCGGCCCGTCTGGCACCAACAACCATGCCACGCTCAAAATTGCTTAAATCACCTTTCTTTCCCATTCTGACATTCAGTTTGGAGTTCAGGAGATTGTCTTGACCAGGACCACACCCCTAAATGCATTGAAGCAACTGCCATGTGATTGGTTGATTAGATAATTGCATTAATGAGAAATTGAACAGGTGTTCCTA